TCCGCAGCGGTGCAGGGTGGTGGCAGCTGCATGCTGGCTGGGGGGGAGGGGGACTTTGCGGGCAAGTGCTGCCACCATGGAGCCATGCCCTTTGCCCCTAGATCCTACAGGTAAGTGGGACTTGGGGGCTGTTGGGCAGGGCTGGGGAAGATGGTTGGGGGCTGAGGGAGCGGGGGGTGCTGCCGGCCCCATGCAGCACATCGCAGCTGGGATCAGGGCCCAGGGGGTGAGGGCAGGGGTGCCCCTCTGCGGGGGCCTTTGTGGGCAAGCAATGCAGGGTGCAGTGTGGTGGTGCCCACCATGTGCAGGCCACACACATGCCGCCCAGCTGCCTGCCCAGGGGAGGGGGAGGAGGAGGCTTGCATGTGGCCGGCTGTACAGCTCCGTGGCCAGCTCTGCAGCGGTGGTGAGGGATGGTGGCTGGGGAGGTGGGGGGCTCGCATGCTGCGGCTGCTGCCGCTTACCTGTAGGCCCGTGCCAGTGGTGACGGCCGCTGCCTAAAAACCCTCCCCGCACTGCTGCGGAGCCATGCCCAGCCACGCCGCACAGTGGCCACCCCCTGGCCCTGCTCTCATCTGCGATGTGCCACCTGGGGCTGGCAGCACCCCCCACTCACTCAGCCCCCAACCATCTTCCCCAGCCCTGCCCCACAGTGCCCAAGCCCCACTTAGCTCTAGGCTCCAGGGGTGAAGGGTGAGTCTGAGCCTGAGCCCAGCCTTGGCTGACTCAGAGGCTTGGGCCCTGCCCTCCCCCCTGTGGAGACAGGGCTGGGGGTTTCCTGCCCTTTCTGCAATGGTTCTTGCAGGCTGGAGCTGTGCCAGCCTGCAAGAGCTCTTTGCAAAAGCGGAGAATCCACGGATTTCTCTGCTAAAAAGGGAAATCCACGTTTTCTCCGATAAAAACAGGGAATCCGTGGTTTTCTCCATTTTTCTATGGGAAATGGAAAACCCAGATCCCCCTCCTCTACCTCAGGAGAAGTCTCAAGGGCTTTCCTTCACTCTTTTTGCTATAGCTGAGATATGGTGACCAACTCAGAAGTGGGGCAGCCTGGTTAATCTTTCCTTAGGAACAGCTGCAGGGATGCAGGTCTCCATTCTGTTCTGGGAAAGCTTACCTAGCCTGAGAAGTGACTGTTGATCCCTGGTCCTTCGTATCCTCCTTGTAGCTGAAAGCTGTAGTGCCATCACCATGCCCAAACCAGCAGGTCACTGTCCCTCCAGCATCTTTCTCTTGCCATGACCCACTGCACTCATGCCACTTTCCTCCTCCACATCAGTCTCTCTTTACACCTGTCAGCTACAAAGCATCAGGCCCATGTCACATACCCACAGATCAAAGGAGAGAAGAGAAGTTAAAAATGCCCAAAGGCAGCTACTGTTTCAGACTTCCTGATCTGATGCCCTTTAAGGTACATAGAACCTGCTCTCTGAGGGATTAGACCCATTCAGGTGTCTCAAGCAGGGCATCCCAGATCATTGACCACATGTGAAAACCTTGGCCCAGGTGACATACCAAGGTGCAAATGGCACAGCAGTGGCAAAGCTGCGAGGCAAACACAGTCTCCCACTGCTCCTGTGTGACTGCTGGACAACTTCCTTCCTGGAGCCTCAGTAGCTCACGCCCAAACACTCTTGGTAGCCTGGCACACTAATGCGCACTACTTGTGCCACCTGCATTTATTTCCATTTTCTCCAGACATTTTCTACATTCGGATTTTCCAGCCCAAAATTCCTTGGAGGTGCAGCTCTCCCTGTGGGAGCTGTCATCGGGAGTTTGGGTGTTTCTACTACCATCTGTCACCACTGTGCTACCCCTCAGTGCTGACAAAGAAGCACCAGCCTGGGATTGTGTTGCAGCCGAGGCCCGTGTTCTGAGGGATCTTTCTCCCCTCTGCTCATACTCGGTACTTTGGGGCCCTGACCTGTCTAGCTAGGATAGGATGAGGGGAAAGCTTTTGCCTTCCTCTAACTACACGATTAGATGGAAGTGTCTACTGAAAATGAGACACTCCTTTCCCACCCTGCTCTCCAGCACCCAGCCCATCAGCTAGGGCCCTTGCACTGGGAACTGTAATGGGGTTCACTCCCAGGGGTGGTTGTGGCATGCCCTGGTGACTGTGCTGCACCTGTCTGCCTATCCTGGCACCCTAATTTAGCTCCTCTCTCCCCCTGTCGCACCATAATGTACAATTAACATGCTGTTCTAGGAGGCTGTCTATGGGTGCCTGGAATCCAGCCATTGGTGCCTTACTTCCTCCTCTACCCATCCTTAGGCTACTAGTCTGGCTAGCCTACGTGGGGATCCAACTTTTTCTTTCCCTTGCCCCTCTGTCTTTGGCTGGGGCTTCAGCCCCTGGGAGGGTTCCCTCCCACCTAGATCCTCAGGGTGCACCCACTCCCCCAGGCCCTCTTGGGCCAACATAAACAGCCCCCAATCCTCTGGGTGCACTTACTGCCCAGGACCCTTCCTGGGTTAACATAAGCCATTCTCAGTCCTCTGGGTGCACTCACTCCTCAGGATCCTTCCAGAGTTAACACAAAAAATCTCCAGTTTCCTATGCACACATTCACTCTCTTTCCATCACCTGAGGCTCTTCCTCTTGGGTCAAGGACCCTCTTGTTGGGCTTGCCTTCCTCCTTGTCTCCCTGAAGGGCTCCATCCTTCTCAGCTGCAGGGGCCAGTCCCCCCTCCTCTACCCTAGAGGAGAGTTTATATCCAAGCCAGGTTGCCCCCCTTTGATCAGCTGACTGGGCTTCCTGCTCACCTGGTCCCTGCATTGCTAATCTCCCCTTCCCCTCTTGGTGTTGGGTTCTGCAACTGGCTGTTTGCAGGCTGGGCTCTGCAGGTGTAAGTCCCTAGCCCAGGGCAGCTCCCTTCTGCTCAGGAGGCCTCTGCTCTCACCTGCAGCAGGCTGCTTGCCCTCTTCTGTTTTGGTAGGTGTCCCCTCCGGGCAGCTGGGGCCTCTATTGTTCCAGCTGCTCTAGCAAGGCTTTTCTCTACTGCAGGTAATGCTTCTTCCCCTTGGGGCTACAAGGTTCTGGTTTTGAAGGGGACTTGCTGATTTTTTCTTGCCTGGTCCTGTCTTCCCTGTAAGAGGATTAAGGTGCCCTTTTAGAGGAACCCAACAGGACTCCCAGTTCTGGATGTTCCTATGAAGCCTTAAAATTTATTGTCCATTTGGGAGAAACCAATGGTGAATTCAAATTGCTGGTTTGAATGGTTAGGCCTTTGATGCCAACCAGCAAGTCTGGTTACATCTCAGCAGCCCAGTCCCACATGCAACTGCACTGTGTGTACATATACATTCTTCTCTTACTAATTTTTCCCTTGATTCCCCATCAACCAGGACCCCCTCTCAATGTGTCCAGTAACCCATCCCTCGTCTGCCTTCAATCCATGCTGACCAGATTTCCACAAAGCCTTTCACCATTACAGAGCAGCTCTTCACTTCAGTAACACCCGCAGTACAACACTAAGATTAGTTGGGAGACTGAGAAGTGCAGGATCAGTGCTTGCAATGAGGGATGCAATCTGCTGTAGTCTTTCCGTCACCACATTTATAGACATGCCAGCTGCAACAAGAGCTGCAGAAAGACACCGCTGTAATGTGAGAAGCAAGGATTTTTGTGGGTGATGGCTTTTATTGAACCAACTGCGTTGTTGGGAAAGATTTAGAGGAAATTTTGAATGCAAGACAATTTTTCTCAGGTCTGAAAAAAAAGCAGGTACAGCTTGAGCTAATATCTGTCTAAGACTGTAAAAAAACAAATACAGTCTACAGGGCTGTGAAATCAAGAAGAGGGACATTATCAGGAGTAGCTAACATAAACAAATTGCAGAAGAAAGGACAACTTGATTAGAATTAGGGAAGATGGCTGTAACAGTCACGACTGCAATTCTGTTACTAAGAAAGGGCGACAGCTGAGGATAGTTGCCATGGCAGGGAAAAGGCGCGCCACACCTGCAAGAGCCAATCAGGCTCCGGAAGGAGGAATAAGAAGGAGAGGAAACCGGAGAGAGGTTGCCTTCGGGCACCTCCACATTGAGAGAAGCGGGCGAGGAGCCCAGCGGCCAAGGATCCGAAGGAAGGTTCAGGGATCGGGACTCACCACACAGATGGCGACAGGACTGGTGGACTGACATCCCTTGAGTTTGCTATCTTCCTGAAGAAACCAACGGCGGCGGTGAGTCCCGGGGAAACGGAGTGTCGGTGCGGCGAAAGCCGTGGCTCCGAGTCAGGATGCAGCGGGGCTGCCCGGGAGAAAGGGGCGTAGGGAAGAAATGCCCTATCCTGCCTGGGAGAAACGGGACCCCGACCCCTCACCCAGAGAGAGAGAGAGCGGGGGGTGGGGGGTGGAAAAAGGAAAAAAAAAAGAAGAGAGAGAGAAAACAAGTAAAGAGCCGCGCTCCGCAGGCCGGCACAGAATGCCGCCAGAGAAGCCCGGTATCGGGCAATTAGCAATGAGGCAATTAGCGGCTGATCACTGAAACTGCCTCTAATACTTAACGTCTGAGCCTGATGACAGGTTCCCGAAACACTGGAGAGTCCCCGGTGGGTGGTCTGGCAACTGCTCCTTTTTCAACTGATGTTCCTAGAGAGAGGGTTGACCCTATTAAGAATAATAAAGCACCTGAATCAGAAATCGAGCACGCATGGTCCTTCTCGTGTGTTAAGAACATCTCCTCCCTCCCCCAATTTTGTTTAAAGATCAAAGTCGTGGCAGGCGAGAATAGCGGGGTGCAGGGGTACCCGGCTCAGACCCGCTGACAAAGGCCATTAAAAGATATTGTCCATATAAATCTCCTTGCCTCCTGCACATTTCCTGAAGCAGCAATTCTCAACCACAGTGCCACAACCTTAAGATCCTTCCCAGGATGCCACAAGGTATGTCACAATGTTAGGCATGCAAACATAATTCACAAGATAAACCCAGAGATTTCAAGTAGGAATTCATAGTGTTAAAGCCATTATGATCTGTTGTGGTCTTTCTAAATTCTTTGTAACAGAAGAATGGGCCAATTACAGGGATTTTCAACCTTTTGAACAGTGTATCCCTGGCGGCTGAGGGGGCGGGGGGTAGTGGCAGGCAGCCATGG